AAAGATCGCCCAACAGGCCTCCAAGACGGCCAAGATGACCTTCAAGATGCCCACGTGTTCCCCGAAGGCTTTCCAAACCGATTCGGGGAACACATGGTCCGATGGCTTGGCAGGTCTGGCCTCAACGTTCGGCCACATAGGCGCTTCCAAAAAGGCAGGGGGCGGCGGTGGTTCGCCGTAGGCGTCTTCGATCCCGCGCGACGAGGGTACACGGGCTCGAACTGCACCCGAGCAAAACCAAAATACTGAGCAACCAGACGAGAAGGACCGGAAGGGCGAGCTCACGCACAGCACGTTTCCAAGACATGGATATAGAAATCGTTCCATACGAAGGCAGTATCAAATACCTCGGCCAATTGATCAGCTTCCACGAACCAATGGAAACGGAAATCCACCACCGCACGCGAGCTGCATGGGCATCATTCACGTCTCGCAAGCAGGAGCTGACCAGCAAACACTACCCACTGGGTCACCGACTCCGACTTTTCAACAGCACTGTAGCACCAACAGCGTTATACGGAGCAGAGACGTGGACCCTCACGGAGCCTCTACGGCAGCATCTACGACGCACACAACGACGCATGCTTCGCATGATCATCAGAACGCCACGGAGACGCACAACAAAAGAAGCCGGCCCTCACAGCGGCCAGGGACCGAATCTAGACGGCGCGAACAACGAAGCGCAAGACCACGAAGACCGCACCAACAGCACTAGCGACGACGCAGACAGCAACCCATCACAGCGTGATGCACCTGACACGCCTGACAAGCACAGCGAAGACGGCGAAGACAGCACCACCGCAGACGAAATGGAACCATGGGTCGACTACATCCAGCGAGCGACACGACGCGCAGAGCACCTCATGAAGCTCCACCACATCGACAATTGGGAGACGCTGCACAAACGGAAAGTCTGGCGCATGGCTTCACGAGTCGCAAACCACGACTGGACGAGGTGGACATGGCGAGTGCTGCGCTGGCACCCAGTCCTCAACCCGCGCCAGCAGAGACACAGGCAGCACGGTGGCCAAAACAAGCGCTGGGACGACGAAATCACCACTTACTTACGTCAACGCAGACCAGACCTCCACCGACCACCCACGCAAGCCCATTCGAAAGGACAACCGAACGACATCACATGGACGCAAACAGCCCAAGACACCGAAGCATGGACAGCGCTCGAGCACCACTTCACCGACCTCACGTCGACCAGCACCCGGGACTCAGACCAATGACGTAATCTCGCCCAACCCGCGCCGACACCGACACCAAGGACTTTCTTTTCCTCCTCCTCCCCCTCTCCTCCTAACTTTTTACATGTCTCGCATTGCATGAATCCAGACACCTCAGATCCTAGAGGCCATGGCCTCACCCACCTGGTCTGCCCTAGGCCCGGACGCTGTCCGCAACGGTGGTCGCATCGCATCGCATCGCATCGCAGGCCTCTTCGATCCGCCGCCCCTTGTAGTCTTACCACAAGGGTGCCTGGCGTGCTAACCCCTGTACGGCTTGTTTGTGGTTCTTTTCCCAAAAGAAATCCCCCTGGGGCCTCGGCTCATTGCGCCGACCACGCGGAAGGCCGCACAAACGACCTCAACGTCCGAAAAAAGTCTCCCAGGACGGCCCAAGATGGCGTCGAAGATGGTCGCGCTGGCCCAAGATGGCCTCCAGGATGGCCCAAGATGCCTCCAAGTCCGCCGAAGAAGCCATCAAGACGGCCCAAGATGGCTCCAAGATGCCTCCGGGTCCGCCCCAGAAGCCTCCAAGATGGCCCAAGACGGCCCAAGAGGCTCCCAAAGCGCCCCCCAGACGTCCTCCAGGAGGGCCCGATGAGGCCCAAATCAATGGTGTTCCACAGGTGTTTGAAGGGTTTGGGCATTTGCTTCTTTTCGAGGGGTCTCCGAGATCGCCCCAAGATGGCCCCAAGGGCCTCCAAGATGACCTCATGTCGGCCCAAGAAGCTTCCAAGACAGGCCCAAGAGGGCCCCAAGACGGCCCAGAGGCCTCCAAGACGCCCAAGATGGCCTCCGAGACGGCCCTGGAGCACCCCAGGATTTCGGCATTTGCTTCTTTTCGGCCTTCCGATGGCCCGAGACGGCCCAAGAGCCCCGAAGGATCGCTCCAAGATCGCCCAAGAGGCCTCCAAGATGGCCCCAGAACAGCCCAATGGGCCCCCAAGACGGCCCTAAAGAGTCAAGACGGCCCAAAAGGCGTCCAAGACACCCAAGATGGCCTCCGAGACGGCCATGGAGCACCCCACGAGGGCCCCAAGTCGGCCCAGAGAGGCTCCCAAGACGGCTTCTGACGGCGTCAGACGGGCCAGGAGGCCATCAAGACAGCCCATGATGGCTCTAAGATGGCTCAAGACGGCCCAAGAGGCCCCCTAGAGGTCTCCAAGTCGCCCCAAGAGGCCTCCAAGAAGGCCCGACGAGGCCAAAATCATTGATGTGCCATATGAGCTTGAAGGATTTTGCCATTTGCTTCTGTTCGCCCTTCCGATGGCCCGAGACGGCCCAAGAGCCCCGAAGGATCGCCCCAAGACGCCCAAGAGGCCTTCAAGATGGCCCCCAACGGCCCAAGAGGCCCCCAAGATGGCCCCAAGAGGGCCCCAAGACGGCCCAAGAGGCCTCCAAGACGCCCAAGATGGCCTCCACGGGCCCTGACGCACCCCAAGAAGGTCCCAAGTCGGCCCGGAGAGGCCCCCAAGACGGCTTCCGACGGCGTCAGACGGGCCAGGAACGCCCTAAGACGGCTCAAGAGAAGCCCCCCAAGGACCCCAAGAGGCCCAAGGAGGCCCCCAGGATGCCTCCCAGGGGCTCCCAGGAAGCTCCTAGAAGGCCCCAAGAGTGCCCCCCGGAGGCTTCCAAGATGCCCCCCTCCTTTTTCCTCCTCCTGATCTTCCCCTCCATCCACACCCACGTGTTCCCCGAAGGGTTCCACAACGGCTGGGGGAACACATGGTCCGATAGCTTGGCAGAGCTCTTGCCACAACGCTCGGCCACAAGGGCGATTCCATCAAGCAGGGGGCGGCGGTGATTCGCCGTAGGCATCTTCGATAACTCCTCTCTATCGTACCCCTATACGTGTCGGCAGGGCGCGCTGGGCGTTTCGCCTGAGCCTTCATCGCCACTAATGATCCTGAAGCATGAAATCTGCAACAGGTTCAACGATGGATGCCGGATGGTTTTCAAAATGTTGCTCTCGCCTGCGCGCCGCGCACATTCGTCCCAACAGCTTGCAACAGGTTTACGCATGGAGGGCGGGACGGTTTCAAAATGTGGCGCTCGCCTTAGCACCGCGCACACTCGACTTAACAGTGCAACAGTTTCACGGATGGGGGGCGGGCCGTGTTCAAAATGTGGGTCTCGCATTGGCGCCGCGCACATTCGTCTAAATAGTTCGCAATAGCTTAAAGGATGGAGGGCGGCTCCTTTTCAGCGGACCGGGTGCTTCGCCTGAGCCTTCCCTACCACTTACGACCCTGAAGCTTCAAAACTGGTAACAGCTTCACAGATGGAGGGCGTGCCGCTTCCAAAATGTTTAAACAACATGCGGTTAAATCATTGGAGAAGTTTCGCGGATTGACGACAGATCGTTTTCAACATGTGGCTCTCGCCTTAGCGCCGCGCACATCCGTCTCAAGAATTCGCAGAAGTTTCACGGATTGAGGGCGGGTGGATTTCAGAATGTGGCTCTCGCCTCGGCGCCGCGAGATTCACGGATTCTCATGGGTAACGTACCAAATATGGCGTTATGGAACGATGTAGGATTATCAGGGCGTTACGTTGATTCGCGGTGTTGAAGTGCCCGGAATGGCGTTCTGGCACGATTCAGGATCGTCAAGACGCAACAATAATGTTAATACGTGGCGTTGAATTTCCAAGAGTTGTGCTCTGTGGCACGGGTTCCGGATATTCGAATGGTTGTCTCCCAACGGGGCACTTCCCTCAGTGGAGATGAATCCTTCTAAGGGCCTGCGAAGAGGAAGCTTGGAGGAAGGGTGTATTGCAACATCGTTGATGAGTCTTGGTTTTACACTGGTCCTCCTCCTCCTCCTCCTCCTCCTCCTCCTCCTCCTCCTCCTCCTCCTACTCCTTCCTCCTCGCTCCTCGCTCCTCGCTCCTCGTTCCTCGCTCCTCGCTCCTCGCTCCTCCTCCTCCTCCTCCACCTCCTCCTCCTCCTCAGCAGCATCATCATCACCCTCCGTAGCCATTTTGGCTCAAGCCGCTCTACTCTCGAGCGCGGCTCAAGGAGTTGAGGCACCGACCACCCTCCATTCGCGTGACGCGAGGGAGCTTGCTCCATTTTCCTCCTCCTCCTCCTCGTCCTCGTCCTCGTCCTCGTCCTCCTCCTCCTCCTCCTCCTCCTCCTCCTCCACAATTACTGAATATGAATACTACTCTCCCTCTTCCCCTGATGACGGTTTGAAAGTGGCCGACCCCCCCCCCGCGTACTGTTTTTTTACACACAGGTTTCCCTGGAGTTGGGTTTTCGCCTGCATTTGTTTTCAAAATGCTGCTCTCGCTGAGGCGCCGGCCTCATTTCCGGGCCCCGCTCGTTCCGAATCGTGCTCCCGCTGCAGCGCTGGCCTCGCTCATTTTCGGGCTTCCGCTCGTTCCGAATCGTGCTCCCGCTGCAGCGGTGGCCTCATTTCCGCGCTTCCGCTCGTTTCGACTCGTGCTCCCGCTGCAGCGCTGGCGTCATTTCCCGTGCCATGCCACGGCATGCAATGCAATGCTAGGTTGGTACTACGCTTTGCGGTGCTCTTCTACGCCATGCCATGCCGTGCTCTACAATGCATCGCGCACCCTTTCGGGATCATTGCCCTGCTCGACATCCGACGGAGCGAGTAGAGAGGGGATCTGCGCCATGGTAAGGGATGGGAGGGAGGGGTAGGATGTCAGATATGACGCGAGCGCACCTAGCCTGTCCCCCTCCCCCTCCCCGCTCCTGCTCCTCCCCCCTCCCCGCTCCATCCTCGCCCCTCGGCGGCGCGGGGGCCTCCTGCCAAGCAGCCGCTCCACCGAGTCCAGCCGCTCCACCGAGTCGAGCCGGGGCCTGCCGCGCGGCGAATGACCACCCAGTCGGACGTCACGAGGGGTGGCCTGGCTTGCCGCCCAGGGGGGGGGGATCCTGCCTGGCCACCACAACCATCACCTGCTTGTCAGGATGAGTACAACTCGTACTAGTGTACGAACTGCCATCATTCGTAACATCCATACTGTTCGTACTGCTGCAGGTCATGGTCGCACTGGTATCATTCATAGTCGTATTGATCTCACGATCTCACTGATAACAGAAATCGCATGCTCCTGCTACTGCGCTTCGTGAGATCCTTCTTCCTATTGTTCGAGTTGGTGAAATTACCAAGACTGCCATTGTGGTTAGCACTTTCGCTACTGCTGCAAATACAGTGCTCACTGGCAACACAATGGGAGCTCGACCACAAGAAACCTTCCACAAGAAACCCAACCCCGAGACCCCAGGACGTCCATTGATTCTTGGTGTGGGATCGTCACGCTTTCCATGACAAAACCATCGAAATCCAAGAAACCCAAGGCACCCTGGAGGCAAGTAGGGTGTTTCTTCGCATGGGCTTCCACTGTACTCATGCACATCATCACCTATTACTTGTATTACTAATGCATGTCGTATTAGCATGAGTACCCCTGCTGGCGAGAATACGAATAGTGCCCGTCCCTGGTGCGCTGGCGGCGACGGCCTGGGAAGCATTCACTCGACCGACAAGCGTCACCGAAGGGTGGGCCGGGCATAAGTAAATGCTTGCAGCGGCCAGCGAGCACGAGGCTTCTGCTGCTTTCGGCGTGGCCGACCAGCTGGTGACCTTGTTTTCTTTGCCGGGTAAGGGTCGTCGACTTGGGGAGAGGGGTGAGGGGGGTTCGGGCGATAGGGTAACAGTAACGGCGGCCGCGGCATGCACCCGCCAGAGTGCGTCCGCGCCGCCGGCGCATCAATCGCCTGTGTGCACCACAGCATGTAGGAGGGTTCCAGGCCACCCCCCCCAGTACGATCGTTAGCGTTACCTGGGGGAGGGGGGAGGGGAAGTTTGGCCCAGGTAACGAGCGTTACCGTGGAGAGTAAAAAAAACGCTCACCTGGAGGGCTGGCTCCAGGCAAACGGTCAACCGCGCCGAGCTCCTGGCGCTGGCGCAGAACGTCAATGACGATGACCACGGCGCGGAGGAGCGTGAGCTCCATTGAGTCACTGACCCGATGTGCGTGGTGCGCTGCCGGCGGAGGCCCCAAAGCAGGGCGCCGCGGAGCCATCGCGACCCGTGGGGACGGCTGGAGGCGCTGCTGGAGGAGCAGCGCCGCGAGCTGGTCATCCAAAGGTGAAGCCACATCGACGAGGCCGAGGCCACCAGCAGGTGGCTCGCCTCAACAAGTCTGTGGATAGGCTCGCCGGGATGGCCGCGACCGAGGTTATGCTGATGGAGGGCGATGTGCAAGCGGTCCGGGATGTGGACAGGCTGGCCGTGCGCGTCCGGCAGCGGCTGGCAGCCGTCATCCGAGACGTGGGCGAAAGAGACACCAGGGCGCCGCGGTCGAAGGGCAAAGCTGCTGGCGAGCGGCCGCGGGCCACCACGCCGTACGCGGCTGCGCTGCGGGAGAAGAACCTTTCGGCGGATACCGCTCGCTGGCGCCCGCGGAGCGGCAGTGTGCCTCCGCTGCCGCGTGTGCCAGTCCGAAGCGTGGGGCTCGAGGAGCACGCGCACGGAGTGGCCGCGAGCGGCATGCGGCGGGCCGCGGCTGCCTCGGGCCCTGGGCCTGCTGGAGGGCGCGCCGGGCCACGGAGCAGTTGCGAACTGTGGGCAGCGCACCCAGTCCCTCCCACGATGACCGCGCCCACGAAGCAGTGCCCGTCTGGCACTGCGCGCGATGCGGGGCCACCACGGCGAAGAAGGGCGGCGTGCTGCTGGGGCTGGCCAAGGCGCGCCTTCTGCCTGAACGGCCGCCGCGCCAGGCAGGGCGCGAGGCCCTTGGGCGCCTGGCACGGGACCTCTGGCCAGGCACTCACGCGAAGCACGGGCGTGGAACGCAGGGCGCCGTCGGCGTGAAGGGCGGCGTGCCCGGCGGCGGTAGCTGACGTCCGGGAGCTGCGAGCGTGCGGCCCCGCCTGGGGCCTCCTTTCCCCCTGGGGCCTCCTTTCCCTCCTCCTCTTCCTCCTCCTCCTCCTCCTCCTCCTCCTCATCATCATCATCATCATCATCATCATCACCATCATCATCATCATCCTCCTCCTCCTCCTCCTCCTCCTCCTCCTCCTCCTCCTCCTCCTCCTCCTCCTCATCATCATCATCATCATCATCATCATCATGTTCATCGTTATCATCATCATCATCACCACCACCAGCATCATCATCGTTATCATCATCACCACCACCAGCATCATCATCGTCACCATGCTCATCGTCATCGCCTTCTTCGTCTTAACACGATGATTATGAACAGGATTATCTTCTTCTCATTAGTATAATTC